CTTTCCCTAAAAGGATTCAGTATACATTCTTATCAGTAATATATGAGTATTCTTCGCCTCATACCTTAGTCAAATATGACAAGATCGTTAATCCAGGATCAATGTGAGAATAACTTGGATTGAATTGAGTAACTGATAGAAAGCTTAATTTTACATTCCAGTTTGGTTTTGCCCTATTGAACAGCAGTGAATTGCAATATCTGTAACATAAAAAAAATTCTTTACCCTGGCTCAGAACTGCATGGTATTCTCAGTGATTTTTAGCAATCAATGAAGAGCATAATGGTTCATTTTTATGTTACTCTTGTAAGATGAAGTTGTCATTAGAACTTCCCCCGAATATCATTCTGTGGCTATCCACGTTCTTTTCAAGTGTGGTACAAATTTTAGGTGAAAATAATTACATTAAAATTATATTCATATTTTTTATTAGGCAACCACTTAAGTTATCAATTATGTCATTCTCTATAAAACCATATATCCTTTTAACTTGTTTAAAATTAGCTCTTTTTAAGAGATTTTCTCTCTGGCTCTAATTAAAATGTTAATCTCTGTGTTTAATATCCTTGGAAGAGGAGATGACGGAGTTTTTTAATAGTAAAAGTCCTTGCGAGTCTCCAAAATTTCTGCTAGAAGGAGTCCCTGGATGGTGTACAGGCAGATACTGCACCTTCACTGAGACCACTGTGTTGCCAGACTACTTGCAGCTACTTCCCTCTCCAGAGAGATTCCTGCACTGATGAGACTTCACGTTGTCTTGAATGACATTACTTTCCAAATATGAGTTTGGATTAACTAGGATTTCATATTGTCCCCTAACATTAGGGATGGATAATAAACAGATGCAACATCTCTCATGCTTGGGGATGTGTTATTGGTATTTTTTCTTCTGTAGTTTTATTAGATGTTAGTAAGGCACATCTATACTTTATTCATTGACAATACCTTTAGGAGAATGTTGGGACCGAGGTTATTTCTTCTGACAATGTTAACCTGTACCTCTGTACTATTATATTCTGACAAAGTCAACTGTTACCGCTTCAAATACATGCCTAGTGGGGGATGATCATGATGATGTTTGGATTTACAGTGTTTGTTCTCTAGAGCTATTATTATCTCATTTGTGATGTCTGTCAACAAAAAATGGGATACAGTAGCAAGAATATAGTAGCAAGAATGTCAACTCTTCACTCTTGTTTTTATTTTGGTAAATGATATCAAGTTGAAGTTCAAAACTTGATTCCTATCTTGTTCCCAGATCCTGAATTTGATCCTTTACCAATTTTTTTTTTTGCGCCTTCTCTATATCTGTTCCTTCTCTTTATCTCTACAGCCACTATTCTTGTTCAATTTCTGATCTCTAACCAAATTGCCAAATTACCTATATGTGTCCTTTGTCCCCTGTACTGTGTTCTTGAGAACCAAGACATTGTCATATCTGTTTTTGTCTGCCAGATCCTATTCTTGGCATGTTGTCAATGTTTAGTAGATGTTTGACCAGAGAGGAATTCTAGCCTGGACAATTGCAAAACCTTTCTGTTGATGTTGAAGTTCAAAACTTGATTCCTGTCTTGTTCCCAGATCCTGAATTTGATCCTTTACCAATTTTTTTTTTGCGCCTTCTCTATATCTGTTCCTTCTCTTTATCTCTACAGCCACTATTCTTGTTCAATTTCTGATCTCTAACCAAATTGCCAAATTACCTATATGTGTCCTTTGTCCCCTGTACTGTGTTCTTGAGAACCAAGACATTGTCATATCTGTTTTTGTCTGCCAGATCCTATTCTTGGCATGTTGTCAATGTTTAGTAGATGTTTGACCAGAGAGGAATTCTAGCCTGGACAATTGCAAAACCTTTCTGTTGATCTCTCTGACTCTTGATTTTACTTCCTTTAATCCACATTCTAAAACAAATATATCCATGGGTCTCTACTTGAAATCTTCAATGTAGTTCTACTGCAAGTTAGGTCCAAATTCTCTATGTGATATTTAAGGTTCTAATCTACTTTTACTACCTCATCTTCAGTCACCCTCCTTTCCTTCCCAAGTCTCCATTTTTCACTTATGCCGGCCTGTAGTTATCTGTTGGCAACTTTGTCTGCCCCAGTGGACTGTGATCTTCTTGAGTACAAGAGATGTCTTTCTTACTTTTAAACATCCAGTGTTTATCAAGGCTACATGCAGTAAACATTTTATAGCAATTTGGTGCTAAAATCTGCTTGAAATTTATTCAAACTATTTAGAATGATAGCTTCTGTTTTAAGCAGAACAATCAAGATGAAATAAAAAACAGAATTTTTTTTTACTTGTGAAAGATATGCTGGAAATGCAGATGACATTCTTTTAGAGATAATCATAGCATTTTGGCATA